CAGCTCTGTGGGACGTTCTCTCGAGACTCCCCGAGCAGCTCCAGCAGCGTCTCCCGGCACCGCGTTCTCCAGGCGCTTCTCCCGCCTTGAAGAAATCTGCAGAGAAATTAAATAGTGATTTGGTTTCCTTCTTTTTCCTGCTCTGAAAGGTTCCCGTATCTGATCACAACAAAAGGTCTCTCTGGTCCCCGCGGTGTTCCCGCAAGGCGGTGGGTGCTGTTTCTTTCCCGGGGCGGACGGGAGCCGAAGCTGGTGGAGTCGGTGGATTGCTGGGCGTTTATAAAGCCTGCTTGGTGTTTGGCTCAACTTTGGCTGGTTATTTAACCACCCTGTTCCTTTTAGCGAGCTGAAATTGATAGATGAGTTTTGACATTCAAATTACATTAATTCTGCGGATTGATCATCGTGTCATTTTTTCCTCGAGCGCGTGAACAAATAGTTTGTGCATCCGTGTGGGTTGTTTCCTTTGACTCAATTTATTAAGAGGAATTTTGTTTAAGTTTACGGGCTTCCATAGTTCAGGGATCGTGAAAATTACTCTTCCTCGGAAAGCGCTTGTGTCAGTGTGCTGCAGACTGAATCAGCAGCGCTGCTGCTCCTGATGGAGTACCTGGGGCTCCTGTTTTGTTAGAGATTGAAGAATTGTGCGCACGAGCACGTATTTGTAATCTTTCCCGCTTTTCTCCCTGACGCTTCACTCCATCCTGGTGTGCCACAAGTGGAGAAGGAATTGATTTTAAATGTGACCGCTGCATATGAGCCAAGGTCCCTGGGCTGTGTCCAGCTAAGAGGAACTTGTTTGAAACACAATTTACTCGTCTATGTCTTACTTTGCAGCCTTAAAAGCAGATACTGCGGTGGTCTCAGGCAGAAAGACAAGTGCAAAAATTAATTGTGTAGTTTCCAGCCAAAGCCGTCGCACCCCTCCGCCGCGCTCCCCCTTCCAGTAAGATAAAACGTTTGTTACGTTGCACGGAGAGACTCGGCAAACGAGGCCCGAGAGTTGCTTTGGGTAATAAAGGAAACCTGCGTCGCGTGTTTTCCTTCCCCGTGTGTTGCAGGTATCGATCTCGGCTGTCTGTACTCGCTCCCCCCCGTTGCGACGCGCGTTGCGCCCGTGCGGCGGTGCAGCCCGAAGCCACCGCGGGCTGTGCGTTGCCCCGACCGGCGAGAAGCTGTTGTCTGCGCGAGCGCAGCGCACGGGGGCTTCTGCCGTCCCTTTACAGGTCGTAGGTGAAAACCTACCCCCGGTCATTCTGCTGTTGGGGTTTTTCCCGTTGGCCCCGCTCATGCCCTGTCCCCCGAAGCGTCACCAGTCGGCAGGGGACTGCCGTTGGGGTTCCCTTGCTGCTCCCGACCTCTGGCATTCTCTGTTGGGTCCCGAAACCTCGTTTGCCCCCTGAATCTTTCCTTTTCTATTGCAGCAACATATTGTAATGCTGTAAACGCGTCTGCCCCAGTGCTCCTCACCACACTTATATGCTGCCAGGGAATATTCATCAAGGAACTTCCATTCAGATGGGTCTAAAGAGTTCGCCTCGCGTTTTTATTTAATTTAGAGTTTGTAATTGAGGCCGTTGTCGGAAATAACTTTCTCGTCCTGGTGAGTGGGAGCAGATATGAATACAGATACCCAAAAGCGTTAACGTGTACGGTCTGGTGCTTTTACTTAAGCAAGCAAATTCGGGTCAGCAGAGCGAGAGGAGCTCTGCGGACAACGGCCGGATTAGACGCCCTTTGATTCAGGATAAATAGGCACAGAGCGGGAGGCGGGAGATGCTGCCCGCTTCGGGCCCTGCCTTCCCCGTGTCCCTGCGTGCACCCTGCCTGTCGTTAGCCCCGGGCCCGCGGGGAGAAGAAACGCCGTCCGGAGAGGGATGCTGGCGCCAGCCCGGACCGGGATGCTGGACTTCGAAAGCCGTCAGCCAGCGGGGCTTAATGTAGCAGCATCCCGGCATGAAAAGCTTCAGTGGCTTGAACTTCAAATAATTTATTTCTAAATTACTTCTACTGTAATTCTTATTAATTCAAATAGGCTTCTAAGCTGATGTAAAATTCAGTAAACGCAAGGAACAGTTTAATGAATTGAAAATAGGATTGAGTCTTTTAAAGTAAATGTAAAAAAATATGCTAGCAATAATTGCTTAGATGGAAATCGAATCTTAATAGCTTTGTTAATGATTTGTAGTGAATATTGCGTTTATGAGAACATATCAAGCTGATCCTTGTGCAAGAACCTTGTTTTGAATGGGTTTGATAGAATTATTCCCCAGAAGCAGTTAGTAACGTTTAATAATTTTGCTTGCGCTGCTTTTGAGATATTTGAGTGTTGTTTACGCCGGAGCCCGTGGCTGTTAGGCATCGCCTCGGCGCTGCTGGGACACGTCCGGGGTTTCTCTTTGGCGCGGTGAGACACAGCGACGGCTGTGCCCTGGGGGTCCGCGCGGTGGGCTGGGGGCCGGTCCCCGAGAGCGGGAGGGGACGTGCGCCCACAGCCCCGGTGCTGCCTGCACCAGGTCCAGCGCCACGGGACAGGCACGACGACGTACGGTCATCCTGCCGTGGGTTGTCCTGCCCGCGATTGTCCTTCTTCAGCTGCAAACCCCCTGGAGCGCGTATGAAGCTGTAGAGCACGCAGACGGTACCTCTGTTTCGATAAGCAGCACGGTTGCGTCCCTCACCTCTGATCACTTAGATTAGGAAAGACACGGAGCTGTTGGAGCGGGGCCAGAGGAGGCCCCGGAGATGCTGGGAGGGCTGGAGCCCCTCTGCTGGGAGGACAGGCTGGGAGAGGTGGGGGGGTTCAGCCTGGAGAAGAGAAGGCGAAAAAGGGGAGAGCTCAGAGCCCCTTCCAGTGCCTAA